AATATTGTCTCATAAGACTTGACCTACTTGATGAGGTTGGTAGTATTATGTGGTGAGACAGAAGTTAGATTACCACTTGATAGGCAGATGACAGAATCCTGATGGTATTGGAGTTCAACCTGACTACAATAGTGTAGAATGTTGGAGCCTTGTCCAGTAAATGTATTCAAATTTGCTGGTGTTGGCCCTTGTTCTAGTGAGGCTTCCCAGAAAGTAGGAAAGGGAGAGAGAAAGAACCAAGAACCATAACTGTGGACAGGGTAGTACGGAGCAATATCAAATAAATGGGGACTGAGGAGATCATACCACATAAGGAGAAAGTGGGGAGTCACAGCGGCTCGAGTGGGTATGTGCACGTGACGAGTCTAGTGTTGGAGCCGCATCCCCTAAACATGTGACGTTGAGCCCATCTCCAAGTGCCAGAAGCATTCAGGGTAAACACAAGTCAATAGTAACATAAATGGGACTACGTTGTTATATATTTAGTAAAACACTAGTCAATGGTAACATTCTACCCTAAAGCAGGTTGGCATCTAGCTACTAAAAAAATTTGTTGCACAGTAGACAAAACTGCAATATATTTTATTTGAGTTTATAGTTTATATGTTAAATAATTCTCTACTCAGTGAAACTATATACACAATTAGTGTTAGTAGCCTCTTATTAATCTCTGGGGATATTTTGGTAGTATTAATTATTTTATTAGTGACCTTTCGTGAAACACCACAAATTTAGTGTAGATAAATTCCGTGGAAACATAGCCACAATTTGGTTGGAGTGTAATTTATGTGGTAACACTCCACATATATAACACACCTCTCCAAATTTGGTGGTTAAACTCTGTGAAACCGCTGAGAGGCTTGGTTACTGCCAGTCTGACTGGCAATATGTATTTAATGTCACTGGTATTAATTTATTGCACTGGTTAATTTAGTAATGATCTAGATTTGATAACCACATGTTATTTCTGGTTCATCCGGTTCATTGGGGACCAAAAATTATATTTGTGGTTCAAAAAACAATATTTCTTTATTTGATGAACGAGCAAAGCATTTCTGGTTCATCTATGGATGATCTAGTTCATAGACCATCTAGGTACGAGTGACCATAAAATATATGTGTGGTCTAACAACCAGTTGTTCCTGATTAATCCGGTTCGTTGAGGACCGTAAAGTATGTTGGGTGATTGCTTTGATTATTAATTCAAGAGATTGTATTAATTGTCTTTATTAGATATGAGCAGACTGTATTTTATAGTTTATTTTCACTAGTAAACTTCCCTTCACACATATTGTGGGGGTTTCATATTTTAATCTTACCATAATGAAATGGTAGATTTAATTACTAATGTGTTTAAATCACACTACTACTTGTTAGTTAAGAATTTATAGCCTCAGCTGTTTTGTAATGTGAGAGCTCATCCACAAGCATCGGACTTGGTCTGCCACATGAGGTCCATCCTGTGGCCCCTTTCTCCTATTTTACAAGTTGTGGCAACAAATAATGACTATATTCCCTTGTTGTAAGTCACGCTGCTATCTAGAACTTCCTGGAGATGATTTATGTTATGAGAGGCGCGCATGTGGGCTCAAGGTTCACCAACACTCTTACTCCCAGTGCCTTTGTTTACAATAGTTGCCCTCCTCCCTCCACTTTGGACACGTCCAGAAACGGTTTGTTTTATTTCGAGAAAATTGGCTTATTTAGTAAATTTGACTACTGATTATTTTTTAATATATGATAAATACCAATAATTTATTTATTGTGTTGCCAGTTCTGAGACTGAAGATGTTTAGTGTAACATCAGTTAGAAACGTTTGAGAATGATGTATAGCAGCCTCTCCCATTCTCTGAATTTTTTTATGGCAACCTAGTGTATTTCTTAGTTACATGAACTAATGCAAATTAACAGCAGTGTATTGCTGTTACATTGGAGTTTTTATATTTGATATTGGGTGGAGGCAGGTCCGGTATGTGAAGGTAGAGGCAGGTCAGGGATGTGAAGGTAGAGGGAGGTCAGTGAGGTGAAGGTAGAGGTAAGTCAGGTATGTGAAGGTAGAGGTAGGTCAGGGAGGTGAAGGTAGAGGTAAGTCAGGTATGTGAAGGTAGAGGTAGGTCAGGGAGGTGAAGGTAGAGGTAGGTCAGGGATGTGAAGGTAGAGGTAGGTCAGGGATGTGAAGGTAGAGGTAGGTCAGGTATGTGAAGGTAGAGGTAAGTCAGTGAGGTGAAGGTAGAGGTAGGTCAGTGAGGTGAAGGTAGAGGTAGGTCAGGGATGTGAAGGTAGAGGTAGGTCAGGGATGTGAAGGTAGAGGTAGGTCAGTGAGGTGAAGGTAGAGGTAAGTCAGGTATGTGAAGGTAGAGGTAGGTCAGTGAGGTGAAGGTAGAGGTAGGTCAGTGAGGTGAAGGTAGAGGTAGGTCAGGGATGTGAAGGTAGAGGTAGGTCAGTGAGGTGAAGGTAGAGGTAAGTCAGGTATGTGAAGGTAGAGGTAGGTCAGGTATGTGAAGGTGGAGGTAGGTCAGGGATGTGAAAGTAGAGGTAGGTCAGGTATGTGAACGTGGAGGCAGGTCAGGGAGGTGAAGGTAGAGGTAGGTCAGGGAGGTGAAGGTAGAGGTAGGTCAGGGATGTGAAGGTGGAGGTAGGTCAGGGAGGTGAAGGTAGAGGTAGGTCAGGTATGTGAACGTGGAGGCAGGTCAGGGAGGTGAAGGTAGAGGTAGGTCAGGGAGGTGAAGGTAGAGGTAGGTCAGGGAGGTGAAGGTGGAGGTAGGTCAGGGATGTGAACGTGGAGGCAGGTAAGGGAGGTGAAGGTAGAGGTAGGTCAGGGAGGTGAAGGTAGAGGTAGGTCAGGGAGGTGAAGGTAGAGGTAGGTCAGGGATGTGAAGGTGGAGGTAGGTCAGGGAGGTGAAGGTAGAGGTAGGTCAGGTATGTGAACGTGGAGGCAGGTCAGGGAGGTGAAGGTAGAGGTAGGTCAGGGAGGTGAAGGTAGAGGTAGGTCAGGGAGGTGAAGGTGGAGGTAGGTCAGGGATGTGAACGTGGAGGCAGGTAAGGGAGGTGAAGGTAGAGGTAGGTCAGGGAGGTGAAGGTGGTGGTAGGTCAGGGATGTGAACGTGGAGGCAGGTAAGGGAGGTGAAGGTAGAGGTAGGTCAGGGAGGTGAAGGTAGAGGTAGGTCAGGGAGGTGAAGGTAGAGGTAGGTCAGGGAGGTGAAGGTAGAGGTAGGTCAGGGAGGTGAAGGTGGAGGTAGGTCAGGGAGGTGAAGGTAGAGGTAGGTCAGGGAGGTGAAGGTGGAGGTAGGTCAGGTATGTGAAGGTGGTGGTAGGTCAGGGATGTGAACGTGGAGGCAGGTAAGGGAGGTGAAGGTGGTGGTAGGTCAGGGAGGTGAAGGTAGAGGTAGGTCAGGGATGTGAAGGTGGAGGTAGGTCAGGGAGGTGAAGGTAGAGGTAGGTCAGGGAGGTGAAGGTAGAGGTAGGTCAGGGATGTGAAGGTAGAGGTAGGTCAGGTGAAGGTGGAGGTAGGTCAGGGATGTGAACGTGGAGGCAGGTCAGGGAGGTGAAGGTAGAGGTAGGTCAGGGAGGTGAAGGTGGAGGTAGGTCAGGGATGTGAACGTGAAGGTAGAGGTAGGTCAGGGAGGTGAAGGTAGAGGTAGGTCAGGGAGGTGAAGGTAGAGGTAGGTCAGGTATGTGAAGGTGGAGGTAGGTCAGGGAGGTGAGGTAGAGTCAGGGAGGTGAAGGTAGAGGTCAGGTATGTGAAGGTGGTGGTAGGTCAGGGATGTGAACGTGGAGGTAGGTCAGGGAGGTGAAGGTGAAGGTAGAGGTAGGTCAGGGATCAGGGAGGTGAAGGTAGAGGTAGGTCAGGGATGTGAAGGTAGAGGTAGGTCAGGTATGTGAAGGTAGAGGTAGGTCAGGGATGTGAAGGTAGAGGTAGGTCAGGGATGTGAAGGTAGAGGTAGGTCAGGGATGTGAAGGTAGAGGTAGGTCAGGGATGTGAAGGTAGAGGTAGGTCAGGGATGTGAAGGTAGAGGTAGGTCAGGGAGGTAGGTCAGGGAGGTGAAGGTAGAGGTAGGTCAGGGATGTGAAGGTGGTGGTAGGTCAGGGAGGTGAACGTGGAGGTAGGTCAGGGAGGTGAAGGTAGAGGTAGGTCAGGGATGTGAAGGTGGAGGTAGGTCAGGGAGGTGAAGGTAGAGGTAGGTCAGGGAGGTGAAGGTAGAGGTAGGTCAGGTATGTGAAGGTAGAGGTAGGTCAAGTATGTGAAGGTAGAGGTAGGTCAGGGAGGTGAAGGTAGAGGTAGGTCAGGGATGTGAAGGTAGAGGTAGGTCAGGGATGTGAAGGTGGAGGTAGGTCAGGGAGGTGAAGGTAGAGGTAGGTCAGGGAGGTGAAGGTAGAGGTAGGTCAGGGAGGTGAAGGTAGAGGTAGGTCAGGGAGGTGAAGGTGGAGGTAGGTCAGTTAGGTGAAAACGGGACGTGGTCAAGGAGGTGGAGGTGAATAGTCTAAGATGTTGAATGTATTCCTTATCACCGAAATGGACGTTACTCCTCTCATTATTGCAGTTAAGTACAGGTCACAGAGCTTTGATCAATGTCACATCTTCTCACTGAGTGTCCATCTTCTGTGTTCCGTTGAAGAGTATTCTCAGTTTTCTCTTTGACTGGCAGCTTCTGCGCGTATACCTCTTCCAGGTCTCCCTTCACCTCTATACAAGAGATATTAATTATTTCTAGGATTAGGTATTTGTATCAGGGAGGATGATGTGTTGAGAGGCATCTGTTGTGACCACCAAGTTATATCACATATTGACAAGTAATGCTGTACTAAATCTTAATCACCAGATCCAGTCAGGGAGCAAAGGCAACCGTCGAATGAAGCAGTATCATCAGCAACAGCAGGAGCAGTAATACCAATAGCAGCTACAACAGCAGTAGTAGCAACAGGAGCAAAAGCAGGAGCAGCTGCACCAGCAGGAGCAGCAGCACCAGCAGGAGGAGCAGAACCACCAGCAGGAGGAGCAGCAGCACCAGCAGGAGCAGCAGCAGCACCAGCAGGAGGAGCAGAACCACCAGCAGGAGCATCAGCAGCACCAGCAGGAGCAGCAGCAATATGAAGAAGACTATAACAGTGATGATAGTGCTGGTGATGGGTCACAGCGGTGAGTCTTCTATTGTCACCCAAACAGCTTCACCTCACACGGCGCCTGGCACTGGCGCGGGTGGGACTGCTAGTATGTACCCCAGCACCACCCAGCCCCACCCAACACCACCCAGCCCTACCCAGCACAACCCAGCAACACCCAGCACCACCCAGCCCACCCAACACCACCCAGCCCTACCCAGCACAACCCAGCAACACCCAGCACCACCCAGCCCCACCCAACACCACCCAGCCCTACCCAGCACAACCCAGCAACACCCAGCACCACCCAGCCCCACCCAACACCACCCAGCGACACCCAGGCCCACCCATAACCAACAAGCCCTACCCAGCACCACCCAGCCCGTCCCAGCACCACCCAGCACCACTCAGCCCCACCCAAAACCACCCAACACCTCCCACCACCAACACCCAAAACCACCCAGCACCACCCAGCCACACCCAGCACCACCAGGCCCCATCCAGAACCACCCAGCACCACCCAGCCCCACCAGCAGACCCAGCCCTACCCAGCCCTACCCAGCACCAGCCAGCATCACCCAGCACCACCCAGCACCAGCCAGCTCCGCCCAGCACCACCCACCACCACCTAGCACCACCCAGAACCACCCAACATCTCCTACCACCACCAAGCACCACCCAGCCCCACCCAGAACCACCCAGCACCACCCAGCACCACCCCCCAGCCCCACCCAGCACTACCTAGCCCCACCCAGAACCACCCAGCCCTACCCAGCACCATGCAGCACCACCCAGCACCACACAGCCCCACCCAGCACCTCCCAGCACCACCCAGCACCACCCAGCCCCACCCAGCACCACCCAGCCCCACCCAGCACCACCCAGCACCACCCATCACCACCCACCCACAACCCAGCACCACCCAGCCCCACCCACCACCACCCACCACCACCTAGCCCCACCCAAACCCACCCAACACCTCCCACCCCCACCCACCACCACCCAGCACCTCCCAGCCCCACCCAGAACCGCCCAGCCCTATTCAACACCATCCAGCACCACCCAGCACCACCCAGCACCACCCAGCACCACCCACCCAGCACACCCAGCACCACCCAGCACCACCCAGCACCACCCAGCACCACCCAGCCCCACCCAGCACCACCCAGCACCACCCAGCACCACCCAGCCCCACCAAGCACCACCCAGCACCACCCAGCACCACCCAGCCCCACCCAGCACCACCCAGCCCCACCCAGCACCACCCAGAACCACCCAGCCTTATTCAACACCACCCAGCCCCACCCAGCACCACCACCCCCCCCCCCCCAGCACCACCCAGCCCCACCCAGCACCACCCAACCCCACCCAGCACCACCCAGCCCCACCCAGCACCACCCAGCCCCACCCAGCCCCACCCAGCCCCACCCAACACCACCCAGCACCACCCAGCACCACCCAGCCCACCCAGCCACACCCAGCACCAGCCAGCTCCGCCCAGCACAACCCACCACCACCCAGAACCACCTAACATCTCCCACCACCACCCAGCACCACCCAACCCCACCCAGAACCACCCAGCCCAACCCACCACCACCCACCACCACCAAGTCCCTCCCAGCATCACCCACTACCACCCAACACCACCCAGCCCCACCAAGAACCACCAAGCCCCATCCAGCCCCACCCAGAACAACCCAGCACCACCCAGCCCCACCCAGCACCACCCAGCCGCACCCAGCACCACCCAGCCCCACCCAGCACCACCCTAGCCCGACCCAGCACCACCAAAGCTCCGCCCAGCCCCACCCAAGCCCTACCCAAGCCCCACCCAGCCCCACCCAGCACCACCCAGCACCACCCAGCACCACCCAGCCCCACCCAGCACCACTCAGCCCCACCCAGCACCACCCAGCACCACCCAGCACCACCCACCACCACCCAGCACCACCCAGCACCACCCAGCACCACCCAGCACAACCCACCACCACCCAGCACCACCCAGCACCACCCAGCACCACCCAGCACCACCCACCACCCACCACCACCCAGCACCACTAAACACCACCCAGCACAACCCAGCACCACCCACCACCACCTAGGACCTCCGAGCACCACCCGGCACCTCCCACCACCATCACTCACCACCACCCAGCAACACCCAACACCACCCATCACCATCCATTACCACCTGGCACCGCCCAACATCACACAGCACCACCCAGCACCACCCAGCACCACCCAGCACCACCCAGAACCACCCAGCCACCACCCAGCACCACCCAGACCATCCATCACCACCCGGCACCGCCCAGCACCACACAGCACCACCCATCACCATCCATCATCACCCAACACCATCCAGCATCATCCAGTACCACCCAGCACCACTCAGCACCACCCAGCACCACCCAGCACCACCCAGCACCACCCAGCACTACCCATCACCATCCATCACCCCCCAGCACCACTCAGCACCACCAAGCACCACCCAGCACCACCCAGCACCACCCAGCACCACCCAGCCCCACCCAACACCACCCATCACCACCCATCACCACCCATCACACCCAGCACCCAGCACCACCCAGCACCACCCAGCACCACTCAGCACCACCCAGCCCCACCCAACACCACCCATCACCATCCATCACACTCCAGCACCACCCAGCACCACTCAGCACCACTCAGCACCACCAAGCACCACCCAACACCACCCATCACCATCCATCACACTCCAGCACCACCCAGCACCACTCAGCACCACCAAGAACCACCATGCACCACCCAGCACCATTCAGCACCACCCAGCCATATCCAACACCATCCAGCACAACCCAGCCCCACCCAGCACTACCCAGCCCCACCCAAAACCACCCAGCCTTACCCAACACCATGCAGCACCACCCAGCACCACTCAGCCCTACCCAGCACCACCCAGCACCACCCAGCCCCACCCAGCACCACCCAGCTCCACCCAGCACCACCCAACCTCACCCAGCACCACCCAGCCCCACCACGCACCACCCAGCCCCACCCAGCCCTACCCAGCCCACCCAGCACCACTCAGCATCACCCAGCCCTACCCAGCACCACCCAGCACCACCCAGCCCCACCCAGACCCACCCAACACCTCCCACCCACACCCACCACCACTAAGCACTAAACAGCCCCACCCAGCACCACCCAGCACCAACCAGCACCACCCAGCCACACCCACCACCACCCAGCTCCGCCCAGCACCACCCAGCCCCAACTACCACCACCCAGCCCCACCCAGAACCACCAGGCCCCATCCAGCACCACCTAGCCCCACCCAGCACCACCCAGCACCACCCAGAACCACGCAGCTCTACCCAGCTCCACCCAACACCACCCAGCCCTACCTAGCACCACCCAGCACCACCCAGCACCACCAAGCACCATCCAGCACCACCCAGCACAACCCAGCCCCACCCAGCAACACTCAGCCCCACCAAGCATCACCCAGCCCTACCCACCACCTCCCAGCACCACCCAACCTCACCCAGCACCACCCAGTCCTACCCACCACTACCCAGCCCCACCCACCACCATCCAGCACCACCCAGCCCCACCCAGAACCACCAAACCCTACCCAGCACCACCCAGCTCCACCCAGCACCACCCACCCCCACCCAGCACCACCCAACCCCACCCAGAACCACCCATCCCTACCCACCACCACCCACCACCATCAAGCCCCTCCCAGCATCACCCCCTACCACCCAGCACCACCCAGCCCCACCAAGAACCACCAAGCCCCATCCAGCCCCACCCAGAACCACCCAGCACCTCCCAGCCCCACCAAGCACCACCCAGCACCACCCAGCCCCACCCAGCACCACCCTAGCCCGACCCAGCACCACCCAAGCTAATCCCAGCCCCACCCAGCCCCACCCAGCACCACTTAGCCCCACCCAGCCCCACCTAGCACCATCCAGCTCCACCAGCACCACCCACCACCACCCAGAATCACTCAGCCCCACCCAGCACCACCCAGCACCACCCAGCACCACCCAGCACAACCCACCACCACCCAGCACCACTAAGCACCACCCAGCATCACCCAGCAACACCCACCACCACCCGCACCACCGAGCACCACCCATCACCACCCGGCACCGCCCAGCAGCACACAGCACCACCGAGAACCACCCACCACCACCACCCAGCAACACCCACCACCACCCATCACCATCCATCACCACCTGGCACCGCCCAACATCACACAGCACCACCCAGCACCCCCAAGCACCATCCATCACCATCCATCACCACCCGGCACTGCCCAGCACCACACAGCACCACCCATCACCATCCATCATCACCCAACACCATTCAGCATCATCAAGCACCACTCAGCACCACCCAGCACCACCCAGCCCAGCACCACCCAGCACCATCCATCACCCCCCAGCACCACTCAGCACCACCCAGCACCACCCAGCACCACTCAGCACCACTCAGCACCACCCAGCACCACCCAGCACCACTCAGCACCACCCAGCACCACCCAACACCACCCATCACCACCCAGCACCACCCAGCACCACCAAGAACCACCATGCACCACCCAGCACCACCCATCACCCCTCCAGCATCACACAGCACCACCCAGCAGCATCCAGCACCACCCAACACCTCCTTCCACCACACAGCACCATCCAGCACCTAGTTATGGGTTAGGATAAAGACAATTGGGGTAAGGAAATTGTATAGTTTAGTGAGTCTTATCCATTTCTGAAAAATATGTTGTAAAATGGAGTTCAGAGCCAGGAATATAAGGTTCGGTTAAGGATGGTTAAATTGAACTGATGTAGAGAAAATTCCCATTATCAATACATTTTTCCATTAATCCCCTAGGTAGTAGAGGTTTGGTTGGGGATGGTTGTATTGATGTGAAGAAAAAATATGGCTAAGAATATGATGCAATATTGAACCAAGCTCCATGTATCTGAGGTTATGTCCATGGCGGTTATGTTGAAGCACAATCAACACTTCCCTCCCATAAATACG